CTAAATGAAAAAGACATATGAACCTCTATGTTTACTGCAGCATTATTTATAGATATAGAAGCAACCTAAGTGTCAATCAATAGATGAATAGCTAAAGAAGTGATGCATATGTACAATGAAACATGATTCAGCCATAAAAAGAAATGAAATCTTGCCATCTGCAACAACATGGATGGACCTAGAGCAGTGATGGCGAACCTTTTGAGCTCGGCGTGTCAGCATTTTGGAAAATCCTAACTTAACTCTGGTGCCGTGTCACATATAGAAATTTTTTGATATTTGCAACCATAGTAAAACAAAGACTTATATTTTTGATATTTATTTTATATATTTAAATGCCATTTAACAAAGAAAAATCAACCAAAAAAATGAGTTCGCGTGTCACCTCTGACACGTGTGTCATAGGTTCGCCATCACTGACCTAGAGTGTACTGTGATGAGTAAAATAAGTCAAACTGAGAAAGACAAATACCATTTGATTTCACTTACATTGGAATCTAAAAAACAAAATAAACAAGCAGACCTGAAACAGAACGTTTTGATGGTTGTGGGGGATGGTTAAAAAGAGGGGGAGATTAAGATGTATAAATTGCCAGTTATAAAAAGTCACAGGGCGGTAAAGTACAATATAGGGAATAGTCAGTAATAGTGTAATAACTGTGTATGGTGTCAGATGGGTGTGAGATATATCAGGGTGATCACTTCATAAGTTATATGATGTCTAATCACTGGGTTGTACACCTGAAACGATGCAATATTGTATGTCAACTCTAATTGAAAAAAAAACAAACACATTTTTTTAAAGGGTGAAAAAGTTCCCTGGCCGGTGGCTCAGTTGGTTGCAGAATTGGCTCATACACCAAAAGGCTGCGAGTTCAATTCCCAGTCAGGCACTGACCTACATTTCAGGTTCCATCCCTGCGCAGGGGCGCAACTGATCGATGTTCCTCTTTCATATCAGTGTTTCTCTCTCTCTCCCTCTTTCCCTTCCTCGCTCTCTAAAAATCAATAAAAAGAGATGCTCAGGTGAGGATTTAAAAAAAAAGGGTGGAAAAAGTAAGCCAAGTTTTTTAACTAGCAGAAAAATATTTGTGAATCATATATCCAGAATATATAAAGAATTCTTTAAACCCAAAAATAAGAAAATGAACAATCCAATTAGAAAATGGACAAAAGACTTAGATGATTCATGCTGATGGCAAAGAAACACATGAAAAAATGTTCAGCATTGGTTATTAGGGAATACAAATTAAAACTACAATGTGACACCACCTACAGTTATCAGATGGTTAAAATAAAAAATACTGACAGTACCAAATGTTGACAAAGGTGCAAAGAAACTGGATCTCTTATTTATTGCTGGAGGGAAGATAAAATAGGAGAGTCACTCTGGAAAATTGTTTGGCTTTTTTTTTTAAAGTTAAACATACATTACATATATATGATCTAATAATTGGACTCCTGAGCATGAATCCTAGAGAAATGAAAACATATGTGTGTACAGAAATCTGTACACGAATGTTCATAGTAGTTTTATTTGTAATAGCTCCAAACTGGAAACAACCCAAATGTCTTTCAATGGGCGAATGGCTAAATAAACTGGGGGACATCTGTATCACAGAATATTACTTAGTCATCCAAAGAAACTATTGACACACACAGCTTGGATCTATCAGCATATATTCATTAAGCTGAATAGAAAAATCCAATCTCAAAAGTTTACATATATGATAATTTCATTTATATGACATTTCTGAAATGAAAATAAACTATAGATATGGAGAACAGATCAGTGGTTGCCAGGAGTTACAGAAGAGGGGTGTGTGTGTGTGTGTGTGTGTGTGTTTATAAAGATGGTAGTAGAGGGAATTACTTGTGGTGACAAAACAGTTTTATATTTTGATTGTGGTGATTCACAAGATAAAATGTCATAGAACACTGCACACAGACATACACAAACAGAAAAAAAGAGAAAGGCATGCATGCAAAGACTAGTGAAATCCAAGTAAGGTCTGTAGTCTAGTTAATTGCATTGTGTCAGTGTCATTTTCCTAGTTTTGACAATGTATAAAGTTATAACTATAGTTCTCACTGGGGGAAGTTGGTGAAGGACATGAAAGACCACTATGTATAAGTTCTTGTGAATCTATAATTATTTCAAAATAAAAGGTTAACATTTTTTTTCTGTTTTTCATTGTCTTTGTTGTTTGGGGATGATTTTTGAAAGGAGAAAGGGACTGAAACGTGTTTACTCCACCATCTCCAAAACTCATTATTATTTTTAAATAATATAGTCCATACCTCATTAAATTTTAAAAATAAACAATTTTGTAGACATATTTTTTCTGATCAATAAAATACTGAGTAGTAATATTTTTAACTCTTTGGGCTATGTTAATTTTTATAAAAACTCAAAAGGTACAAATAAGGATACTGTGTAAAGTACGTCTCTAATTCTCTCCCCATAGACAACCACTGTTGGTAATTTGTTGTAAATCTTGGGTACCATTCCACAGATTCCTATGGATCACAGTGTGTGTTACTTGTACTGTCACTATAGTAATAGGAACTTTTGGTGGAGACATTCATCACAGGCAATGGGTGACAGCTAGAGACAAGAGGAGGCATTTGACACGATCAAATTCATGATCTTCTCTTTTTCCACATTAACATCCATAAAGACAAGCCACACTTTATTATTTAGTGTGGGTGCCACAATATTTTGTGGTATTAGATACACACACATACACACTCAATGCAGGAGACTAAGAGTTGACTAGCTAATTACTGCTCTGAGATTAAACTCCAAGAACACTGTCTTATTTATTGTGTTGTAAATTTCTGTATGATTACATTAAAATATAATTGTAGAAAAAATGCAGAAGATGGCGGCATAGGTAAACACCGCAGACTGCTCTTATTTATTAATTTCTGTATGATTACATTAAAATATAATTGTAATTGTTATAAAATATTCAAGCAACACAAATGAAGCAATGAAGCAGGTATCCATTCTTCATTGGCTGTTTCTTTAAAGAGAGCATCTTACCTCACTGCTGCTGATGCTTTGCAAGAGTATATTTTGGTTTTGGGTAACTGTCATATTGGTTGGAGAAGAATTTGTATCATGACAAATGTCAAGCAATGATTCAGCATGTTCGTCTGCCAAAAGAAACATAATGTGTTTTGATAAGACTCATCTCAATTTTACAGGAAGATTTAGTTCTTGGTTCTAACAGCAGTTCCATTTTGTTAAAGATTTTTCTAAGATAGTGATCTGGGATCCTGATGGAGTTTCAGGGGATAATTTTCACAGAAAGAGATGTGAGGACAACATGAATCCACAGAATAAATGAGGTTTTGTTTGTTGTTGTTTTTTTAAAATTAGGTAAAATTGCCAAGTGAAACCACTAACAATGGGCTGGAAATTACATTTGCTTTATAGTTTCCAAAGAGAAAAACATTTAGCTACTGTGAGCACACGTCCTGTCTAGCACTGAAGCCACATTAAATTGGCAAGGTTTGAACACCCATCAGTGAACTCCCCGTTAGCTCCTGAGGGGCACTGTTCTCATATTCAAATAAGCATGGGCTCTTGAATGACAACGTCTTCCTCTTCCAATGGCTCTTCCATTTATCTTTGTAACTGAAACAAGATTGAACAAGTGATCTATACTCAGACCCTCTATTTCTTCATCATATTTTCCTTCTTTACTCTTTGCAAATTATCTTCTGCCTCTCTCCTGCTATTGAAAGTTCCCACTTACTACCATATCTGCTTTGTAAGCTCTTTTCTAATTTGATGTTGTTTTCATTTATTCCTCTTGAAACTCTCTCCCAATTCTCCTATGTGCACACCACTCTCTAGCGGTGGGTGCACCTCCTCATCTCAGGCCCCCCGCAATTTTCTCCCCATCATCAATCATTCAATGATCTTGTCCACTCTCAGGTCCTTATGATCTCTGTTGTGTAGAGAACTCCAGGACTAATATATCAACCCATGCTTTCCCAGAAGCCCTATCCTACAGAAAATTGCTACTTGAAAGTGCCCAGATTCCATCAGTACAATTTTTTTTAGAACACATTACCTTCAGTATCCTCACAAAGCCAGTGTTCTTCTAGTTTGTTGATTGTATTCTCATCTCCCCAGATCCCAGGGCTGAACCTTTGAAATCATGTTTGACTCAACTTTTGTCTTTGTGTCTTCACTATCAACTTTACATCACCAAGTTCTGTGAATTCTTCTTTCACAATAAACGCACCACATCCAGCACCTCCCAGACCACTACAACACCTTGCCCAAGGACTCTTTTCCTGGTTCTTTCCACCATATACTTTCTTAATAGAGTTCCCTGCCATGAGTCTCTTTCTTTGAATCCATCCTACACAATAAGAACAGGTTAATTTTCCAAAAACATGGCTTCCATCATTCTCTGGTTCAAAATTCTTTAGGGATTCTATTTTATTGGGGGAAAAAGGGATAGCCTTAGCTTTACATTTAAGGGGTCCTCAATGGACACACCTTCTTTATGCATCTGACGTTATGTATTCATTTTCCCTGACATGAACTTTCAATCTGGACTCCTGTTTGGCCCTGAGATGACCATGCTCCCTTACAGCCTGGTGCCTCTGCTCCACAAAATCAAATCCCATCATGTTTTAAGGACTGGACTGAGTCTCAACTCTTCCATGAGACCCTCTTAGGTATACCCCTGTTTCCTGACCAGACGCATCAAACAAAAAGTCCATCCTATCTAATAAAAGAGAAACATGGTAATTAGCAGTACCTCCGATACCCTTCCCATTGGCTAATCAGGGCGATATGCAAATTGACTGCCAGCCAAGATGGCGGCCAGCAGCCAGGCAGCTTGAAGCTAACGGGAGGCTTGCTTGCTTCAGATATATATTGTAATTGTTATTATATAATATACAAGCAACACAAATGAAGTAGATGAAGTATCCATTCTTCATTGGCTGTTTCTTTAAAGAGAGCATCTTACCTCACTGCTGCTGATGCTTTGCAAGAGTATATTTTGGTTTTGGGTAACTGTCATATTGGTTGGAGAAGAATTTGTATCATGACAAATGTCAAGCAATGATTCAGCATGTTCGTCTGCCAAAAGAAACATAATGTGTTTTGATAAGACTCATCTCAATTTTACAGGAAGATTTAGTTCTTGGTTCTAACAGCAGTTCCATTTTGTTAAAGATTTTTCTAAGATAGTGATCTGGGATCCTGATGGAGTTTCAGGGGATAATTTTCACAGAAAGAGATGTGAGGACAACATGAATCCACAGAATAAATGAGGTTTTGTTTGTTGTTGTTTTTTTAAAATTAGGTAAAATTGCCAAGTGAAACCACTAACAATGGGCTGGAAATTACATTTGCTTTATAGTTTCCAAAGAGAAAAACATTTAGCTACTGTGAGCACACGTCCTGTCTAGCACTGAAGCCACATTAAATTGGCAAGGTTTGAACACCCATCAGTGAACTCCCCGTTAGCTCCTGAGGGGCACTGTTCTCATATTCAAATAAGCATGGGCTCTTGAATGACAACGTCTTCCTCTTCCAATGGCTCTTCCATTTATCTTTGTAACTGAAACAAGATTGAACAAGTGATCTATACTCAGACCCTCTATTTCTTCATCATATTTTCCTTCTTTACTCTTTGCAATTTATCTTCTGCCTCTCTCCTGCTATTGAAAGTTCCCACTTACTACCATATCTGCTTTGTAAGCTCTTTTCTAATTTGATGTTGTTTTCATTTATTCCTCTTGCAACTCTCTCCCAATTCTCCTATGTGCACACCACTCTCTAGCGGTGGGTGCACCTCCTCATCTCAGGCCCCCCGCAATTTTCTCCCCATCATCAATCATTCAATGATCTTGTCCACTCTCAGGTCCTTATGATCTCTGTTGTGTAGAGAACTCCAGGACTAATATATCAACCCATGCTTTCCCAGAAGCCCTATCCTACAGAAAATTGCTACTTGAAAGTGCCCAGATTCCATCAGTACAATTTTTTTTAGAACACATTACCTTCAGTATCCTCACAAAGCCAGTGTTCTTCTAGTTTGTTGATTGTATTCTCATCTCCCCAGATCCCAGGGCTGAACCTTTGAAATCATGTTTGACTCAACTTTTGTCTTTGTGTCTTCACTATCAACTTTACATCACCAAGTTCTGTGAATTCTTCTTTCACAATAAACGCACCACATCCAGCACCTCCCAGACCACTACAACACCTTGCCCAAGGACTCTTTTCCTGGTTCTTTCCACCATATACTTTCTTAATAGAGTTCCCTGCCATGAGTCTCTTTCTTTGAATCCATCCTACACAATAAGAACAGGTTAATTTTCCAAAAACATGGCTTCCATCATTCTCTGGTTCAAAATTCTTTAGGGATTCTATTTTATTGGGGGAAAAAGGGATAGCCTTAGCTTTACATTTAAGGGGTCCTCAATGGACACACCTTCTTTATGCATCTGACGTTATGTATTCATTTTCCCTGACATGAACTTTCAATCTGGACTCCTGTTTGGCCCTGAGATGACCATGCTCCCTTACAGCCTGGTGCCTCTGCTCCACAAAATCAAATCCCATCATGTTTTAAGGACTGGACTGAGTCTCAACTCTTCCATGAGACCCTCTTAGGTATACCCCTGTTTCCTGACCAGACGCATCAAACAAAAAGTCCATCCTATCTAATAAAAGAGAAACATGGTAATTAGCAGTACCTCCGATACCCTTCCCATTGGCTAATCAGGGCGATATGCAAATTGACTGCCAGCCAAGATGGCGGCCAGCAGCCAGGCAGCTTGAAGCTAACGGGAGGCTTGCTTGCTTCAGTGACAGAGGAAGACAACGTTCCCCGCCTGCGGCTGCTGGCCTCTGAACTTGTAGTTTGAAACATTGTTACAAATATAGAAGCTAAACAAAACCCCAGAAACCTGCTTTCAGCCAGCTGGGATCTCAGAGCTGGAGTTAAAACAGTGTTTCAATTATAGAACCCAAACAAACCAGATACCTGCTTTCAGCAGCCGAGGCCTCAGAGCTGGAGCCAAGCCTCAGAGCTAAAGCTGGCCCAGAAT